TGCTGCTCAAATGGTAGGTTTTGAGGTACTTGCTGTTGGGCTACTTTATGTGGAGAAAGTTGACTTTGAGAACATTGTTGTTGTTTCCAACCAAACTCTACAACAGAAAGCTGTAAATCATGTGCACTTCTTATATGTCGAATTGCTTCATTGCGACGCTTGAATCCAGAATTACATCCAAAACCGTGATAGTCTGAAACATCTTTGAAATGCTTGACATCTGAGCCATGTCGTTTGGATGCAAAAGTACATGACAGCTTACACCTCAGAATGTCAAAACCTTACATAAAAAACAAGAAATAGTAAAGAAAGAATATGGAAATGATAGGATATTATGGATATATAGTGAGACGAATACAATATTAACTAGATGAGCATACAATCAAATGATATTCAATAAATATAAGATAGGTTAATAATGCTTTTCTATTTTAGGGAAATAGCACAGCACAAAGTTAGTTTCTGTTAAAAGCATGTGGTTTTCATTTATAATTGAGAGTACCTATCTTCAGCTGTGATGATGCAGTTTAGAAAACTAAATATTTTATAAGTTTAAACCCAATTTCTCAAATTATTTATTAAAATTACCTAAATTCTTCATGATTTAATCAATACTTGTGATTTAATCCAAAGTTCTTTGTGCGTTTCGCTCATTGACGTGGGTTATGTATTAAACCTACGCAGAAATAAGCACATTTTACCTTCAAATTCATGAATCCTGTTTTCCCAGTGGACGCTTTTAAAGTGTTCTTTTACTCTTGATGGAATTTCTTTTGAAAATTTTTCAGGAGGACACAAAGGACAATGATACATCTCTCCATTGCATTTTTCAGCGCCACAGTCATTTCGACCACAACGTACAATAAGAGGACTACAACGTACAATAAGAGGACTACAAGTTTCATTATCACAGTACACAGATGGATGTCGCTCAGAAATCGAATGACTCCCTCGAGCAGCCATTTTGACTTTTTGTTGTTGCTAACGTCGTGTATTTGCTCTTTATCGTCATGTATTTACGCTTTAGCGTCGTGCATTTGCTCTTATGGATTGTGCAATATATATCCATACATGGAATACGTACTAGAAGTCCTTATCGGTTATGTTGAGGTAATTTCATAGGACGTAATTTAATTTCCATTTTTTAATCAATTTTACATTCCAACGTTATATTTCCAGAATCAAATGGTATATAATTGCCTTGATGATCCAAAACTTTTATAGTTAAATCTTTAACAAATGAAGAAATTAATTGTTTTTTTATAATTGGAGGATTGTACACAAACAAATCGTCTCTACTGTCCTTAGCATAATGTAAAGGAACAATACATAACAATTCACTTCTTGAATCACCAACAATTTCACTATCAGTTTTATCACAATATATAAACATTTTATTTATTCCAACTGTCTCATCAGGAAGATATGAGCAATGAAATAATTTAATTTTTTTTAAAAATTTATGATGTGTAGAATCAAATCCAGAATCAAATGTATGTTTTATTTCTTCTTTATCTAATCCCAACATAAAACTTAATTTTTTTGAAAAAGTTAATTTAAATTCCATTGTATTATTTCCGGAGTTTAAATATCTGGGCGATGTGTTAAATGATGGTGGAGGGTGCGAGGAAGCGGTGAGGAACAGAGTTCAAGCAGCGTGGTGGAGTTTTAGAGAGTTGTCGGGAATGTTGTGCGGAAAGTCAACTTCTTTGAAGCAGAAGGGAGAATTGTACAAGGCATGTGTTAGAAGTGTTTTGGGATATGGAGCAGAGTGTTGGGCGCCGAAAGCAGAGGACCTGAGAAGATTGGCGTCGATGGAATGGAGAATGCTTAGGATGATGTGTGGTGTAACGTTGATGGATAGGATTGAAGTGAAGAGATTAGAGAAAGAGTTGGTGTTGAGTGTATCGAGAATTGGGTAAGGCCAGCGTTTGAGGTGGTTTGGGCATGTGGAAAGGAGGGAAGAAAGTTGCTGAAATGTAGAACGCTGCATATAATGTTGATGGAGTCCGCAAACGAGGTAGACCAAGAAAGAGATGGATGGATGCTGTGAACAGTGATATGAAGGCGATGGGTATAACGAGAGATATGGCGAGAGATAAAGACGTTTGGCGTGGAAAAATTCATGGACCGGTCAACCCCCCTGGCGGGAATTAATACTGGCCGGTATACAAATGTTGTTTGTTTGTTGTTTGTTGTATTATTTCCTGTAGTATAATCAATATATTCTATTTTGTTCAATACGGGTCGTGTCCAAATATAATTTTTACAAAATGGTGGAATGAGTGTATTGTAATTAAAGAAAAGAGTTGTAATTCTTTGCTAGCCTTACGTCCCGTGTTAACAAACCATTTCTTAATATATGTGTACGCATGGTTTGGATTATCATTCTGTCTGTGGATGACTTTGAAATAAATCGAAAATTTACAGTTCACTTCACGTCTTGTTTTGATTCACATTTTTACATCTCAAGATGTCTTGTTTCTTCAGAATTTGTTCTTTACTTAACTCTTAAAGAGTACTCTATAGTCATATTTATGTCAATGTGGTAATGTATGTTAGTGCAATCAGACTAAGTTACACAACATATTTGCAATAAGAATTTTCTTTTAATGAAGTTTTGAGAAAAAAAGCAATATATAATCTTTTTGTATTTCTGATAAAGATAACTAAATGACAAAAAAAATATTTAAAATTTATTTTCTTGTAAGGTTTATCGTACAGTTGCTGCAATTGTTCAGCTTGTTTTTGACTGGTAGGTGTGCTTTCCTACACTGCTTGGCAACATGGCCCAATCTTTTGCATATGTGGCAACGTCGTCCTGTTAAATATTCATAAGGAAGTTGCAGTTCATGACACTTTTTATTTGTTTGTGTCATTAGCTTATTTCTGTTAACAATAATGCATGCAACTTGAAGTTTTCAACCATCTAATCAAGCTGATGTTTTATTACTAGGTCAATCAAACTTACTTCTTCTCATACGATTAAACTCTATACAAAAAAAGTATATAATTGTCAATTACAATGGTCAGGAAAGAAATGTTATTTCATTTTTTGTCATTACTTTTCTCGCATTCATTCATTTTGTGGCCTTAGTGGCCACATTTATAGCATCTTCCTTCATTAAAAAAACAATGGCAATTATCAGCCTGGCATCAAAGGCAATTAGTACATTTATACACTATACCACACCTTTAAATGAATTTTTGCTTTGACATTGCTTTGTACATAAACGAATCGTTTGTTAGGTGCTGTTTGATTTGTTATGTGTATGATTAAATTTCAGGTTAAAAGACTCATGGTGAAAAGACTCATGGTGAAAAGACTCATGGTGAAGACTCAGGTGAAAAGATTCAGGTGAAAAGGCTCAGGTGAAAAGACAAAAGTATCATGAGAGAGCTGATGGGCATATATCATATATGAATGAGAACAGTATTGTATACAAAGCACTGTTTACCTTCTTTATTTTTTTGGTTTTCAGAATTGGAGCCACCTCAAATAGTAGTAGATTTTTAGCACATTTTGATGCATTGATGTATTGTGTAATAATGCAAACAACAATCATTAAACAGTACAACCATTTTAGGCTAAATACACACTTGCATTTTTGTTATCTTTCTCTTCAGTTCCCTGACCTGTTTTGAATGCAATTGAACTATTTGAGTGATTTTCAGTTTTCAAAACAAAAACAAATTTTATACACATTTGATACCAGTGTCCATTGCTTTTTCCTTCATCTGTATAATCTAGCATCTGGTGTTTTTGTATGCAAAAAACGATAAAGTGTAAATAGATATTTTGCAAGAAGGGATTTAAACCATGTAAATGAATCACTTTTTGTTTACTTCCATGCTGAAAGCTTCATATAAAGCTTTTCAGATCAGAAATTATTAAATTATTGATCTGTACTAACCTCTTTTTCAAGCTGGAAAAAAATGCAAATGACAAACGCCAATGCTGTATTCTGATTGGTTAACAAATCAAACTTTTTAACTATGAAGAACTAAACATTGCATTGAATTTTAAAGTTTTTTATAGTTTGTAAGAGATGATTCCCATGATAATATACATGTAAATTTAGCGTGCACAAATCGTAAATTGCTGTATCAGTAACGTTGAAACAGGGGTGTAACTCCTGGAGAGGAGATTGATATGTGGTGGCTCAGCCTCTCCCCTTCAAAAAGTTAGCAGTTTTGTCGAGCAAAGCATGTAATTTTTCGAAAATTAAAACGGCAAATATTAGCGATGACGTTTGGATCAACTCATAACTAAGTAAAAAGCGATTTTGCTGGTATTAACATACAAAATTACACTACGTTTTTGTTGGGCAAATCAAATTCTGCAACGTTTCCCCTCTCCATTCTCGGGACTCAAGTCACACCCCTGCATTCAAGTAACATTCTTCTAAATTTTTTTTTCAAGTTATTCGAAGTTTAACCATTGGCTTTTTACAAGTCAAGAAACTATATAAACAATGTGAACTCATTGAACTATAAGGTACAAAAAAATGTTAAAGATAAAATGTTACGCATCATGAACGTTGTGTCAATGATGCCTAGTTTCTGGTTAAAAGGTTCGAAACTTGAAAAATGTGTATATTGGCCAGTATGAGTTGTACAACGCTATAACTACTGGGATAATTCCCTATTTTTTCGCGCATTTAAGATTTGTTCAAAAAACAAATTCAAACACTCCAGTCTTTTATGTCATGGAGTGGTTTCCTTCTTACAGTCTGGAAATTCTTGATTCATAAACTCAAAACCAAAATCATAGCAAACAATAACCCCCCCCCCCCAAACAAAATACCGAGAATGACCTTCGTAAAATTTTCATTAGAATACCATATCTAGGCAAACAGGGTGAACGTTTGGTTTTCAATCTTCTTTGTAAAATTCGCCGTAGCTTAAAAATTCCCATCAAACCTATAGTTATATACTATAAACAAAAAAGACATCAATTTTCTGTCCTAAAAAGGACAAAATTCCGGAACTTTCTAAAGCCAATGTTGTATATGAATTTAAATGTCCAGGTTGTGGTCATACATACACAGGCAAAACTGAACGAAACCTACACACAAGACTAACCCAACATGCCACTAATTACAATAATTCTAGTGCTATCTCACAACATTTACTAATTTGTCCAGATGCCAACTACATCTCACACGCGTGCCACTTAATCCTTGTAATTTGATTCCAAGTAACACCAAAATCTTATATCGCTGTAAAAATAATAATTGTAATCAACTTCTCATCTTAGAAGCACTTTTGATAAAACGCAACATGCCACAACTTAATAGTGTTCTTAAAGCTTGTAAGAAATTATCTCTATTTTAATGTAAGTATACTGCCTGATTGTTTAGTCTTATAGTTCTCGAATTACATAACTGTCATTTCTGCTTGTAAATATATAAACGTTTAGCAGCCTGCTTTGTAAACTATAAGTCTATGATGTCTTTGGAATAAAGACGAAATATTACACCATCTTTTGTTTCAAACTCTTGTACTATCTTGAATACCAAGAAAATGAGATGTCCTTCTTCGTGTAGCGACGAATCAAACTTAGTCATAGTTGTTGTGCGTCAACGGATATACGATGTGCGTCAACGGATATACGATGTACGTAAGCACAACAACGCGCTACAAGCTAACCACACAAGCCCGACCAAAAAGCACGAAAGCACTATAACGCGCTTAGAAGGAAGTAAGTCATCCCACTATTACGTGCAGGATATGACGGAGAACACTTCCCTTAGTTACTATATAAATGCACGACAAAATATAGAATAGCAGACAAGAGATGAATAGAGCATAGCGTTCATTCAATGTAAACTCGTATGATTAAAAATAATGCAATAATAAAAACGATACGTGGCAAGTGTATGATTTCATGGCGCAAGTGCATATACCGAGGGACATGATGATCCAAATCTAACCGTTCTACGGCTCAACGTTACATTCGGAATTTGTTTTATTTTGCATTCACTTTCATTGTCCTGTTCTTATAGTTTGAATCATTTGTATCCCATAAACATTTAAATTCGCGAAGGGCTTCCAAAAACAATTCCTTGTCAAACACTGCATTGCTATTCAAACACTGTTCTTCACGATAAACCTCACCAATTATATTTTCATTGATCTCGTTCGTCGCCATATTGAAAATCGAAAAAAAAGTCGTTAACATAATCGTCAAGCGCTCGACGAAAAGTAGAAATGGTTCCTAATTTTCGTCAAGCGCTTGAAAATTTTTTTTCACGATTTTTAATTCGTACTGCGCATGTGGCGCAGTGAATTTTTACGACGATCGTCATAAAAATCGTCTAGTGGAGATCCGCTTTAGTTTGTTGTTGTTGCTCTTTACGTTTTAATTCGAAACAGTTTGACATTACATGCACTTCACGTTGACAGTATCCACAGATTATAGGCTTAAATGGTTTTGGTGATCTTTGTAGTCTAAACGGTGGTGTGTAACGAGATCGGTTGTTGTTTTGAAAATTACAATCGCAATTATGAGGACTCCCATTTCTACTAGTGTTCAGAGGATTGCGGTTTTCCGGATGGTTGCAAAAATTCTTAGGCGGAAGTTTGTAATCTAAATTGACAATGCTATGGTGTCGAGAATGATTTTGCAAGTGCACTCTGTGGAATATTTATGTGTCAATGTGAACTCATCTGCTAATCGAGCTATGCTATCTGGTTTTTGCTCGTTAATGTATGTGCGTGTGTCGCTGTTTAAACATCTTTTGAGTTCCTCTAAAAGCATAACTTGGCTTAGACGTTCATAATCTTTCTTTACATTTTCTGATACACCAACGATCGAATAACTGTTCCTTTTTCTGCGCAAATTGATTGTAAGTTTCTTTCAAATCTCTGTCTAAATTATAGCGATAGGCTTCAGGTACTAACTCATATCCTTTTAGGACTAGTTCTTTATGGTGTTGTAATCGAAGGACATCTCTGTGGAAAGTTCGGAGTAAATATTTCTAGCTTTTCCAACTAAAACAGTTTGAAGTACCAGGTCCAATATTGTTTTGGCCATGCACAATTTTTTGCAACTTGGAAATGTAAAAAATATTTGTCCGCTTCCTGTTCCTGGAAAGATGGAACCATTAGGATATGTTTTGTAAACCCAAAATTATTTCTATCAGTCCTGTAAGAATCATTACACCTAGCTACCTCAAGTCTCTTCAATTCTATCTCCTCTCTATTCTAAACTCTCTTTCTTCACACTCCCTTTGCCACTGTCTCTCCTCCTACTCTCTCAGCCATTGCATTTCTTCCTGTTCTCTCTGCCATTATTGCTGTCTATCTAATGTATTATCATCATTTTCGTTTTCAATTACATTTGGTGCTTCAGAAACAGACAATTCATATGTCCTATTTCTAACTAATTGTTGTTTGACAAGCTCTTGTATGTCGTGCTTGCGCAATGAGCTTCTTAAATCAATTTCTAAATGTCTTCCTAATGCTATTAAATCATCTTTCCTCAATCTCTCAAATAAATCTTCATTTGGTTCCAACATAAACTCTTCCAGCTTAAATTCAGTCATTTTGTGTTTTTACAACCAGGTCGCACTATTATTTCCCCCTTATTTTGAAATTTGATATTTTAAATCTTTTTGATACTTTTGACCTTTTGTGTAGAACACGAAATTTTATATTGACAATAAAACTCTCTGGTACAAATGACGTTGAAATGCATACAAAATCCTTTTCTTTTTTCTATTTCCACACGCAACAAAGATAGTGTGAACCAGTTATCTTCCTCAAGCAATTTATTTATCAACACGTAATTATATAAGTATATAAGTGTCTTAGCAACAATATCAACAAGTATGAGTAAAACTTATCTCCTCTGTCTGAGTACAACCAAGAGTCTTTATTCTCGAGCTTTCGTGAGTCCAGCAATGACTCACAATAGTTTTCCAAGTAGATTAAAGTCACAGAAGCCAAAAGATAGTTAATGGCACAAAAGCTAAGATAGTCGTCTGTAGGTTGTCAACCTACCTTGGTAGGCTATGCCTCCAAAGATGGTCTCCTTGTAGGTTGTACTTGTAGGTTGTCCTCAGTAGTTTAAACTACTCATATATAATATCTAATGGGAAGTATTGCGGTTTTGTGACCTACATCCCATACGCAATACAGCATGTTACAACAAGATATATCAAATGAATTAACCACAATAACAACAAATGTGGTAGCGATTCTAAAGTATGTGTTTACGCATGCAAGCAAGCTTCTAGATTATGTCCTATTTGTAATGACATTGCAAAATGCATATTAAAGATAAAATACAAAAATATGAAATATTTAGTAATATAATATACTAATAGTTTATACATGATATTACATGATAGTAGTTGCTATCATGTAACAGTGTTCATCATGAAAAGAACTATAAAATTATACAAATCAAAATTAAATAAAAAGAAAAAGTAGAAAAGTTATTGATATTGTTTTTCCTTTAAAGAACAGATTAAACGCATTGATGTGCTAATAAATTCTAATAGGGACCTTAAGATTTTACAACGCGCTTTTTAACGACGCTACTTGTGCGCGCACGTCCTGGGGCGAGACGCGTCGGCGTGGATTATACATTTTGACATAAGTTTTTGACTGCGTGACATGTGTAGTTTCAGCAACATCATTCCAGAGTATTAAAAAATGTCGTCATTCAGAAATGCAAGAACTGCTACCGCTTTTGCCTATGATGCAGCTTTAATTAATGATGAGGAATTTGTTTTACTATACGATGCTTGCCGTTCGAAAAATCCTGAATTAGTGCACAACGATTATCCATCATTTGATCTGGAAAAAATAGATGAAGTTACCTGTTCTTTGGATTTTCATTTTAAAAAGCATGAAATACCGCTGCTTGCTGAAGCTTTAGGTTTGCCTTACCGATTCCAGTGCAAGCAAGGAACAGTTTGCAATGGATTGGAGGATCTTTGCAAAGCCCTTCGTTCGTTTTGCTTATCCTTCCAGTTACAGTGACTTGGTACCTCAATTTGGTAGATCTGTGCCTGAACTTAGCATGATTACCAATTCTGTGATAGATTTTATTTGTGAAAGGCATGGCGAAAAATAACAAATTGAAATCACGATCTACTGAGTCCCAATAACTTGAAAATTTATGCTAAAGCAATTCACCAGAAAGGAGGAGCTTTAGACAATTGTTTTGGTTTTATTGATGGCACAGTGAGGCCAATTTGCCGTCCAGATGAAATGCAAAGTTTACTATACAATGGTCATAAGAGGGTACATGCTATAACGTTTCAATCGATCACTCTTCCTAATGGAGCGATAGCCAATTTGTTCAAACCAGTTGGTAAGCACATCATTTGACTAATATCCTTATGTTTACTTTGAGTTTCATTTAATTTTTTGTTTTATGGAAGGAAAAGGCACGATTCTGCTATGTTAGCCTCATCAGGGCTACTGCTGGATCTACAATTATGTGCCTTTTACAATGATAAACCCATGTGCTTGTATGGTGATCCAGCCTACCATTATGTATGCACCTACAAGCACCATATAAGAACAGGCAACTTACAGTCCACATGCAAGAATTTAACAAATCAATGAGTGCTGTAAGGATATCAGTTGAGTGTATTTTTGGGGACACAATAAACTATTTTAAGTTTCTTGATTTTAAAAATGACCTAAAAATTAGCCTTAGTTGTGTTGCAAAAATTTATATAGTGGCTTCATTGCTTAGAAATGCTCTGACCTCCTTGCACTCAAATACAACCAGTAAATTTTTTCAACTTGAACACCTTCACTTCACCTGTACTTTTCCTAATTTTTTAAAAGCTGTTATTTAAAAAGTTTTTTAAAGCTTCATCATGTGATTATAAAGCCTATCAACAATAAATAAATAACTGTTTAAAGAAAACATATTGTCTACAAGTTAGAGACATTGTTATCTCATTTCTCAACCAATTTAGCCAAAAGGGAAATCAAAGCTTGCCCTTGTTGTTGTACCAAAAGCAATTGATTT